CTTTGGATGCGTTCGTTAGCACCCCTCGTCCGCGCACATGCCTTCGGGCCATGATGCGCTGGTCCCTCTCTTCCAGGCGCTCCCCTTCTTCGGCGCATTCGATTCCCCAAACAGTGATTGCTCCCACGGGTTCTCATTTCTCTCCTGAGGGACTGGGCCTGGCTGTTGGTCTGGCGGGTTTGTCATCGCCGCCCGTCGCCGACGTCCGTCGCCGCTTCTTCTGCGCTTAGCTGTCGGTCGCCGCGCTTGTTGTCGCCTGCACCGCCGTCGCCGACGTCCGCCGCCGTTGCTTACACCACATAGCTCACGTATTATTGAACACATAAGTTGCACCACATAGCTTACACCACAAAGATTGCACAAAACATGTTGAACTTCAAGGGTTCCACCAGGTGTATTCTCCATTTTGAAGGAATACATTCCACCACCTCACCCCATGCCAGGCCTAACCGTTCACCCTCGTGTATTGCAATTTGCATATGGTGAGTCCATACCATCTGAGCCCAGCCAGCATCGACACCGCACCCCCCCGCCATCCTTGTCAACGATATCATGCGCGCAAACTTGTGCATCTTCAACAACATGTTGTCGATAACCCTATTGTAAAGAACGGGGCGACGTGCACACGCGAGCGTCGTCGCGCGCGCATGTCGATTTTTTTCAAAAACCGCTGGTGTCGTAAGTATTTCAACATTGACTACCACGAAAACATATAACAACCAATGGTTTCGCAACTACATTGTAAGGCCGCGCGCGCTCTTGCGAAGTTTCATACTGTTCGTCGAATGCGACCAACCGTGCCTCTCTCGCGCACTTCGAAATCATTCGAACGCCCTTGCGCGCGTGCTGTCGCGAGAAACCTTTAGCAAAAAGCTTGATAAGAACACGCGCGAGCGACGTCAAGCGCGCATTGCGAAATTATTCCAAAGCCGTCGCTTTCGTAAAGAATTAACAACCAAGTGTCCCGAAAGCATGCATCGGCATATATACATATAATTCTACACATAAGTATACACAAACATGTATACAAACATACATACACGCCTTCACGACAGGATGTTGTATACAAGCAGAAGCAGGGAAGAAAGCCTGCGTCCGCGTTGTTGCGATTTTTTGGAAGACCATACGTTTTCCAACATGTTCATTTGATACGGCCAGACGTGTTTCTCGCGCGCACACGGCGAAATCCCCCCGAACGCCCTGGCGCTCGTGCTCGAGGGGACACGATCCTTGTCTAACAACAACATGCGGGCCACCCGCGCGCGTTGGCCGCGCGCGCATGTCGAAATTTGTCAAAAACCTCAGCAGCGACACGCGGACGCCATTACCGTCATTGGCGTGTTCAGCATCGTGGCCGTCAAATCATCGTCACCAGCATCGCCTATCACCAGCGCGTCTGCCTTTGCCGACGTCGCCATGATACCGTGCCCGCCCGAGTCACCGATTCGCAGTGGGGTGCCCGCGTGTCGGCGCGGCCTGCGAGACGCGCCGGGGAGTCCCCAGCGGTCAACGCCACCGCGGCCTCGCCGGTCGAACCAGAGTGGTTGGGTTTTTTGCTCGCGAGGTTGTGCGCGCTAGCGCGGCCGCAGCGATGCACCTGCCAGCGCTCAGCAGCCAGCACAATCGCCGCCGCATGGGTTTTGCAAACCACGCTGCGGGTGGTCGGGTGGGGTGATTGCGCGAGCAATGGAGTGCACAATTCAGTGCGAACGAAGAGGAATACTCTTTTCTTAAAAGAGAATGGATTCGATCCCCCCGGGATTATCTTTTCCCCTTGTCGCAAGGTTACAAATACACACGTAACCATATATAGAATAGAACATTGGGTATATTGCACCGTATACCCTGCACCGAATAGATAGCATCGCATAGAGCGCGCCGCATAGATTGCACCGCATATATTGTATTACATATGCTGCACTACATATTTTGCAACACCTATCTAACACCACATATATTGCACCACGTCGATTTGTCATTGAGCCCCTACAACATACGCTACACCACATAGCTTACATCACGTAGCTCACACCACATAGGTTAAACCACATGAATTGCACCACATAG